GGGAGCAGAAAGCCTCATCTTTCTCCCTCGGAACAGCTGGTAGTTTCGAACTGCTGACATTGCAGTTCGCAGCCCAATTCGTAACCACTACGCTACCAGAGCTCCTTAATTAACATGGTAGTTAAATGATAAATGTATCTTGTGTTAAATCACAGATTGAAGCAGGAAGCCTTCATGCATTGTGCGATCTCATTTATCTTTATGATGGTCTCTGAATGGCATATTGTTTGATAATGTACTATCCTTTAAGTCATTACCACCTGTTTTGCTTCTTCATGCCAGTATATTTGATGTCAGTTAGAAAAGAATACGTCATTATTAATGACATAAATGTCATTAATGTCCAACAGAAAACAATTTGGAAAAGCAGGACTAGACCATATTGACATTAAAGTATGTAAGAATGCTGTGTTCTGTCTGTACTAAAGTGGGGGCATGGTTTTCCTATCACTTCTTTCTGCCTTTGCTCCTGTTTGTGAAATACAGATTACAGTAGGGTGTCAAGCATGAAAGGAGATTTATGCCATTAAATTTTTTTTTTTGCTTTTTCCCCCTATTTTCTAGTTTCTGCCAAATATAAAGGCTGGAAGATTATTAATTAAGTGATAATTTTACCCTTGACTTACATATTTTAAAGAAGAGTGGTTTTCCATCTGACTCAAGAAAATAATATAAGCTCATTCTGAAAATATAAATGAGACAATGTGAAATTCGTGAAGAGAGCTCACTTTTAACTAGTGTCCATACTTAAGTGTTGTTGTTGTTGTTGTTATGTGCCATGGAGTCGGTTCCAACTCATAGTGACCCTGTACAGGGTTTCCGAGGCTGTAAATCTTTACGGGAGCAGAAAGCCTTTTCGAACTGCTGTCCCTGAGGTTCATAGCCTGATTCATAACCACTACACTACCAGAGGTCCTTTAGTGACCCTCATTGAAGTCATTTAGGCACATACATATATACTGTTACATATGTTTATAAGCAATTTCCCAAGAGAAAGGGATTATGTACTATTTTATCACCTGTTTATTCCCTTCACCCCCCACACTCATAAACTGTATTTTTCCATGTCATTAAATTCAGAGATGCATTAGTTTAAATGGTTACTTGGCATCCCATCCCATGGCTGTACCTTAATTTGCCAGT